CTTTGTTCCATTGACTCTACGATTCCATCACTGACAACATTTTTCAACGACGTCAAGTACCTTGAATTGTGCGCAAAGTGGATGAAGCGTTTGGTTGCTATACCTCAGGATGGACACACTGTGAGGACTGCATTGGCGAGGGCCTTCAAGCATTCGATGAGAGATGAAAACCTGTATCCAATTGAGGAGTCCGACATGACTTTCTCCTACCGACCTGTTGAGGTAGACGCTCGTCTCCAGCTTGGAATGCGGCAGTTATGGCTTTCGACGATGAGGAATTTCCGACAAATGGAAACGAATCCAAGCTTACTTCCCAAGCTGGCAAGTCTGGCATCGAAACTGGGGTTCGATACGAACGGTATTCGTTGTCTGAAGTCTATGTCTCCAGATTTGGAGGTTGCACAGCAAGCATTGACAATGGCTCGGCCACCAAAAGACTATATTTACGATGTTCTGAGCTTTCAAGCTGTGGCCGACAAAATTGCCCATACGTTCCCAGACCTTCAGCAAAATGATTCAGCTCAGGAGTCACCCGAGTTTTTCACCGATGCCTATAGTTCGAAATACGATTCTCGGCCGTGGCTGAATCAGATATCTTATACGGACGCCGCTGAGTCGATGTTTGTTGGCATCATGGACAAGCAACTGAGTACGGGAGGCGGGAGACTTGCTGGCCTATTCATCTGCAGATCCATACATTTGGCGTTCTTCGGTACTCCTCGTCGAGACAATCTACAGGTGCCAGTCGCTTCATCTGATAGTGACACAGTCGATGATGAGCTACTTTCCTCTGGTCGCTACCCACCAGAAGCAGGACACCACCAAGAATCAAGAACAAGCAATCAAGCAACCTCATCCAGTCAACATAAAGACCCTTCTACAAGAAAATCTCCAGCACGAAAAGTCACACTCGAATTCATCACCAAAGAGGCAAAAAGAGAAGAGTATGTCTTTCTTGACACTCAAAACCCGAAAGAAGCTCTTCGGTTTCAACTACTTTTGCAAGAGGCTATGTTTAAACAAAAAGTTCTGCCAATTACCGCAGGAAAGCAGCCACTGCTAGTAATGGACTGCTACAAGGAGGTTGTAGAAAAGGGACTTGACCGTATCTTATTATTGCAAGCAGATCACATTGATACGAGCATGATAAAATAGAATCTCGTACTGATACTGCAAAGAAAGCAGTGCTGAAGGGAAGTCTGTGCTCATGAGTTTTGTCACTGATTGATTGTAACTTTCGGGTGATAGAACCAGGTAGTAGAGCTAAGGGGTAGAACCAATTTGATACAACCAGGTGGTAGAACCAGTTTGGTAGAACTAGGTGGTAGAACTAGGTGGTAGAACTAGGTGGTAGAACCAGTTTGGCAGAACCAGGTGGTAGAACCAGGTGATAGAACCAGTTTGGTAGAATCAGGTGGTAGAACTAGGTGGTAGAACTAGGTGGTAGAACCAGTTTGGTAGAATCAGGTGGTAGAACTAGGTGGTAGAACCAGTTTGATAGAACTAGGTGGTAGAACCAGTTTGGTAGAACCAGGTGATAGAACCAGTTTGGTAGAATCAGGTGGTAGAACTAGGTGGTAGAACTAGGTGGTAGAACCAGTTTGGTAGAATCAGGTGGTAGAACTAGGTGGTAGAACCAGTTTGATAGAACTAGGTGGTAGAACCAGGTGCAAGAACCAGCAGAACTAGGTGGTAGAACTAGGTGGTAGAACCAGTTTGGCAGAACCAGGTGGTAGAACCAGGTGATAGAACCAGTTTGGTTAGTGCTAGGACACCGCATCTTACTGTAAGAGCCGACGCAGGCTCCTCATGTGTGAAAGTCTTGATTGCGTCGGTGTACCAGCTACAGTATTGATCATATGTTGCTTCCTCTTGGCAACACACTTCATCTTTCTGAACTTGACCCACACAGGCTGTGCCTATAGTCGTTCTGACTGTACTGTATACATGCGATCACGATCAGAAGTGCGAGAGTGTCTGCTGTTGAAGCCGGTTATGGATACTCTGGAGTAGCTCTTGATTACGCGATGCCCCTCGCACTGTCGTACACTATCCCGACCCCACATTTTGGTTTCCAAACTAACCGCTACAGCCATTACCAGAGGTTTGCGGAGACCCATCACAGCAACTTTTGGATTCTCAAACATTGGAATTGTTTGCGAGAGAGGAAGTGACTTATGATCAATACTGTATAGCGGTTGATTTGCGAACCAAAATGTGGGGTCGGGATAGTGTACGACAGTGCGAGGGGCATCGCGTAATCAAGAGCTACTCCAGAGTATCCATAACCGGCTTCAATAGCAGTCATTCTCGCACTTCTGATCGTGGTCGCATGTATACAGTACAGTCAGAACGACTATAGGCACAGCCTGTGTGGGTTAAGTCCAAAAAGATGAAGTATGTTGCCAAGAGGAAGCAACACATGATCAAAACCATACATATACTGCACAAAGAAGAGCTGGAAGCACAGAGGTCCAACAGGAAGTTACCTGTAGATCACATTTTCATGATGGCTGACGATTCTTGTGCCACAAACCGAGTGTTCAAAGAGAGCGATGCCTTCTTTGAAATACTGCGGCATAAGAAGAATCATCAAACCCGTCAGGTCCATCGTTTAGAAGACCTCTTATCTCCTAATCAGAAGAGGGGCGTGAGGCAGATCGCCGAGCACCCGCAATTCCGTCGCGCATTCGAAAAATTGGCGGGTATCTCAGGCATTCGATCGGGTATGTTGACGGGCAGTCTTCACAAATTCACTAGTGTTCGCTGCGATGAGGTTTGTATTCTCAGCATCTTCTTGACTGGACCGGATTAACGATACGTATAGGAGATTGTCAATTATTTGGAACTGATCTATGATATTTGGCTGCACGTCGTTGGGGGAATCGAGTCCAACCTAGTCAAGATCGACAAGGATACAGTGCAGCTCTTGGAGCTCAAGTGCCCTGGCTTCTCCACCAGAGATGAACGAGATCTTCGCGACATTGTGTCCAGCGGCCGGGCGTTCAGAAACTTCGACCAAACTGAACGAAATTCGTTCTGGCAAAACCTTTGCAGCTTGGATGTTGTGATACTTTCGCTGTCGACGTTCTTCAAACACTTCAGG